CTGGAGCCACCCATTACAAAAGCAGGACCCTTGTGCTTGGCAGCTCCTCCGCCCCTATCCAGCACATGTAGCCCTCACAGAGGCCACCAGCCACTGCTGACCCTCTGTCTCTGACTCCCTTGGATCACTGCTCCATTGGTACGGGCTGCATGTGACACAGATTGTCCCCTTTCCTTTCTGCGCGTGCTCCTCCCCTGGGGGAAGGGAGGTGGAGAGAACAGCTGGGGCAGCCACACTCAGGACCAGCTCCTCCCTGAACCCCAAATCCCTGCTGTCTGCCAGTCGAGCATTGCCGCTCTGTCATATCCCACTGACTAAAGTTCTTTGTTCACGAGGATTTTTTCCCTCAGGACTTCTGTGCTTTGTCCTTCAGTCTAGTTTGTTCTGGAGACCCTCAGTCCAGCAGAAATATCTGAATATACATTGGTTTCAAAGGCTCTGCCAGAGCTCCTGCTCCTTTAGGTACATCAGAAGATATGACTGACCCTTGTCAGTGACAGTTAAGAACTTTCCCAGTGTTCTGTGACAGTTAGAAGGGGCTCTGCCCACAGCATTGAAGCTGACCTATGGGGTCAAATATCAGAAGTCCTGGGGGGTGGTTCTTGGCTCTGGCCTGGATAAAACGTTCTTTTAAGGATGTGAAGAAACTATATATTATTTTTATTTCAAAGCATATATTCAATCGTTCCTTTTGTCATTTTCACATAAAGTCCTAACAAAATTTTTCTCAGTATTTTTCAGTGTCTGCCCTTGAAATGAATGGATCTCAAGGTTATATTCTCTGAGTTTACCGGCCCAAATGGATCTCATGCTTTAAGAACCCAACTCTTGTAGAGATGAGGCCCATTTCTCCAAGGAGTGGATTGTGTGACATGGAGGTGGGGGGAGAGGATGGGCACAGAAAAGGCAGCTTAACTGAGGAGCAGTCAGGAGCCCAGGCAAAGTGGCCCAAGTCCAGCCAAAAAACACAGGCCATAAAAAAATGTAATTTAAAAAAACTCAATACTAACTGTTAACATTTTCCTCATCGTAGAATATTTTCTTTACTTCTGCTTTTATGAAGATATACTATAAAAGAATACAGAAAACTATGAATACAATTTAAATAATATTATTGAGCAGGCAATTATGTAACCTAAATGTGTGTTTTGTATCAAGGCAGAATCTCATCCTTGACTAATGTGAAGCCTACAGGACACTACTGGGCAGGGGGAAGGCAGGAGACTAGGGCATGACAGTGCAATTGGGTGTAATTAGTTTGTCACAGAGCTGTCAGATCTCAGCCAATCATGGCTGGACAACTGGGTGTGACCTGTCAGCCACGGAGAGCTGTCACATCTTGACCTAGATGCTTGCACAGAGTAGCTTCAGAGTCTGTGGGAAGACCCAGATCTGATGTCAAATGAAGATATAAAGGAAGGTGGCCCTTGTACTTCCTTGCCACTGCTCCCTTGTTCTTGCAGCAGCAAGTTATGCCTGCAGGATGTATCTTCTCTTTTGTATTTCTTCTTTTTCTTTCATTTTCCTCAACGTTAAACTGTTATGTTCATTAGTTGTCTCCTTCCAATTGTTTGAATAAGGCCAGAGCCTGGAAACACTAGATACCACACCAACTATCAACAATGAGTGCTATGTGTCTGGAGTGAACAGAGAGAGGGAAGGTCATAGGCTGTCATGTGATCGTTCTGGTGTGCACTGTATTTGAGGCCTGCACCGACAGGTGCCAGCTAAGGCACAATTCAGGAGCTGGGGCCCAACCAGCATGGCTGACCTCTCACCCTGGCCTCTCAGCCTTCTGACTGATTGAACACCCTGTAATCTCATTAACCCTACTTTCTCCATCTATAAAAGAAGGTAACAGAATGAACTCTTCCTGTTTCATACGATTATTGTGAAGATGAACACTGTAATTTACTTCAGCTCTTTGAAGACTCAAATAGTATTATATTTACATTTTCTTGTTCATTCTTTTCCTTGTCATGTAATGTAGTTTCTTAATTTTGTAGGAAGGTGACTTTTAAAATCTGATGACTGAAATGAATTGTCTTGGACAATTAGAATATGTTTGGAAAATTATGTTAATTTCTCAAAACATCTGGTGGCCTGAGGGGTAGCTGTGAGAACTAGAACAGCTGTCAAGATGGAAATCTGGCTTTGAACTTCTCCACCTACCACAAACACACCTCGTCCCTACCTTAGAAAGGGCTGTATTTGTTTTTTCACACTGGAATTTATTTCTTTTTAAAAAATGCAGGGAACACTAGATCCTTAGTTTTGCTATCAAAGGGCTGTTTGGACTCACGTCTCCATAGTCTCTGCCTTTGACTGAAGGGAGAATGATCTCAGTTTACTTTTGGTAGATATTTTGTTAGATTTGACACACTCCTTAGTTTTACTCCCAATTTT